ACATGGTACAAGGCTATTCACAACTGCCTTGTACCATGTGACAAGCTGTGACCAATCACAGCTCACAGAGTATTTCTCAATGGCTGCAATAATACAGCCAGAGAGGAGGAGAAATTAATGCTTTCACAGCCTTTATGGGTGTAAAAGCAATCAGTGTAAAAAAAAAAAAATCATCACCCCCCACAAGTAGTTCAGTGTCACCATAGTGACATTTTACTGCTAGGGTGACAATATGTAAAAAAAAACCCCAAAAAAAACCAAAATAATAATATAAAAAAGTAAAATAAAAATGTAAAACTTTTTTTTTAATTAGAATTTTTCATCATAAACTAATTTGGGTTATTTATTTTTACTAAAAAGATAACTGAATAAATTTTGGCCAAGATTTATGATGAAATAATATTTATTTGCAAAATTTTATAAGAAAAAACACTTTTTTTTCAAACTTTTTGGACATTTTCATTTATATAGCAAAAAAAAAATAAAAATCCCAGTAGTGAATAAATACCACCAAAATAAAGCTTTATCTGTCTCAAACAAATGCTAAAATATTCATATGGGTACAGTGTTGCATGACCGCGCAATTGTCATTCAAAGTGTGATAGCGCTGAAAGCTGAAAATTGGCCTGGACAGGAAGGAGGTAAAAGTGTCCGGACTTGAAGTGGTTAAATTGGTTTTTGAATGTTTGTTCACTTTTGTTTTTGAATTCAAATTTGTTTTCGATTTTGTTTTCGAATTCGAATTTGTTTTTGAATCTAATTCTGGCTGAATTTCGTTTTGTTATTTCAGATTCGTTTAAGGTCGTTATTTTTGTAATTCGGAATTCTGATACATCCGAATCTCCGAATAACAAAAAAATTGTCCAAAATTCGATTCAGAACGAAACAAAATGCACATGTCTAGTAGATTGCATATGTATGTAAAACAATTGCTTGCCAGATATATTGTTTTTCAAAATGTATTTTTTTATGAATAGTCTGTGATCCCAGCTCACAATTTTGGTACCATGTATGTTGCATCCTTTCCCTTACATGAATATTGCCAGAGTGACCAACACATTTAAACTGGTTGGGTTTGACAGATTTATCTGTAAACTAAAATTTTGGGGAGAAAAATGTTACACCAATGACACTGAATACATCCTCTTTTTAACCAGGCCATAACTGAACTGTTCTGCCAGGCAAGACTTCATATATGTGAGAGCTATGGATTTCCCAGTAAGATGTATACAGGCAGAAAATTAATAAAAACACCTTTTATTGTTTGTGTATCCTATACACTCATCTGAGACTATTAGGGCTCATTCATATATATGCATTGCGCAGTAAAGCACTGAATGTACATTGGTGCATTGCAGCGCTATTCATCACATATACTCCATGATGTGCTTTGCAGTGCCTGCAAAAAACACAGCATGAGTTAAAGTTTTTTGCGCTGAGGTGTTATAGCACATTCAAAATGATCTGCTATGACCTTTTATATGAAGCTTCTCGTCCCCAACATGAATAAGCACAAAAATAACCCCTGTGGGACTTCAATGCAGCAAACACATGATCACACATGTACTCATAGGGAACTCCTTTTAGTCATGCACCTTTATTGTACAAAAATATTAATAAAAGATGCATTGCATTTAAAAAGACACTAGCTCTGATAACTATTGCAGGGATGTGCTCCCTTTAACTTGCAACAATACAACATTCCCAAAATAACCCAGATGCGTTTTGATCATTCTACTTTTAGATCTTCTTCAGGGGGCATGAGTACAAAAGGGATCTCTGAATAAACATATTTGAGATTAATAATAGTTTTTATATATAAAATCATCAATAACAATTATATAATCTCCATTTTCATACTTACAGGGAAATTAAACAGCTAATGTTGATCAGAGCGGTCATAAAAATACTGACATCCAAGATGAGACTGCATAGTCCCAAATTCAATGGTATAGACTATCGGGAGGGTAAGAGTGGTCAAATATCCATCTTGTGCCGTCAGTACCACGAGATGGATATTTTATATATAACTATTATTAATCTCAAATATGTTTGAGATTAATAATAGTCAGAGTGTGGATCCATCATCCTCCACTCACTGCAACTGTCACCCTGCCACTGCCAGTCACAGATACAGTCCGTCCGTGACACTGATTATTCTTTAATATTGGTGCTGTTGGCATCTTATGACACTTATTTTTGCAAATCAAAAGAAATTTAGCAGTTTCAAGTTTTGTTGATTTAAAATTTTCTACTATTTTAAAAAGAATATTTTTTTTTTTTTGGGGGGGGGGACAAGTAGCTGGTCTTGCCTAGGATGCAAAATAGTCTAGCACCAGCCCTGTTCATGGGGCAGCCATTTTCATTCATTCCATATGTAGGTTCTGCTATCTGTTTGCACAATGATCGGTCTTCATTATGCTTCATTCTCAGGACATGATATTGCACAAGCTAACTGAGAACTTCAGGGAAGACATTTCAAATTCATATATATGAAGTACGCTTATGAAAACATGGGAACAGCCTGCATGTCAAATGTAGAAGTTACATTAAACAAAATTTTATATAAACTACATAATAATCAGCTCAGCAACAGCAGTTCACATACAATGTTTCCTCTGTAAAGTTTCCTGTTAGAAATATGTGGATAGATCTCAAACAGGGGCGGACTGACCATTCAAGCACTCGGGCACTCGGGCCCCATGAATTCCCCTGGTACATTTTTATAGGGCTTTTTTTGGGTGTGCTTTGAGTGTGGACAAGGACAAAGGGGCCCCATGATCCCCTATTGCCCGGGGGCCCCATGAGCTGTCAGTCCACCTCTGATCTCAAATATGCATTTCAGCATGACAAGAGAATATTTGTGAATTAGAACTGTTCTATAAGGAAGCATGGGAAACATTGTTTAAGCAGAACACTGGAAAGTTTTATTGTATAAAAGGGTGGGAGGTGAGTGTACCAACTTACACTTCACTTAGTGACTTTTGGCTCCATTCACAAAAGCAGATCACATGTGGTATTTAGGTGGTCTGACACATTTTTCCTAAATTTCGCTTGCAATGCTGAAAATGTCAATTCGCTATTGCTTTATGCAGTATTTACAGCAGTTCTTAAATTGGTAGATACAACTTAATGAATTGAGACCATTGTCATTAGATCTGGTGAAATCTTGGTTCTCCCCACTGTTTAGCCAATGTCCACACCTTTGTAGTCATTTTAAGCATTACTAAAGCCAAAAACAAACATTTATTATATTGCAGGTTATCAATTCTTAGATGTGGTGGCTGCATTAGTTTTCTTTTATTTATGTATGTAACACTGTTATCCCAAAAAAAAAAAACTGCTGCAACTGCCTATAAAGTGTTAGCTGGAAATCAGCTTCAATTTGTTAGTGTATTTACATCTGCTAGTACATCTAACACTCCCCTCGCCTCCCCCTCAAATTGGCAATGTTACTGTCCAAAGGTGCCCCTTGTGCTACTTCTTCCAGAGTGGGGGTGCTTTAATACAGGAGATGTGTTACTGGCCAGATCAGCAGGGGAAAACGGAGGGAAAAAAGCCTAAAAATTAAAACTAATGCAGCCACTACATCTAACGATCGGTAAGCTGCAGTACATTACATTTTCTTGGTTTTGGGTTTATTACCGTTTTAACTATACTGTTATAAAGTCAGCCCTTAAAATGTTCACAATTTCCATCTATCCAGTAGCCAGGGTGCAGGGATTGAAAAAAAGACAATGACTAAACAGTAGAGAAAGGCAAGATTTCAGTGCAATAGACTTGAAGGAAACCATGGAGCTAGTTGCAAATTAAACATTGCACTTACCTCCCACACTTCCACTCATTTAAACTTCCTGGAATATTTCTTATAAAGCAAGAATAGAACTGGTGGCTAGTTGATAGAAACATCTGTAGGATGTGATTTTCCCAAAGAGCTTGTTAGTAAGTAATGACAGAAAGAGTAACATTTGTATGTATCTTAGTTTTTTCAATTACAAAAATGCATTGAAATGTTGCAGTAAAATTTGCCACATTAATTTCTTTTTAAAGTGCCTGTTTACGGTAAAGCACCCCTAACGCTTTCCTCACAAGTATATACAGTATATTAAATAAAGTACTTTACAGGCCACACGCTTATGCATGCAGATGTGCCCAACAGAAACATACTAAAAATACAAAATAACAGTGAATTTAATTATGGTTACATGATGCTCAGCTCAGCAGGCAGGCTGGTAGGCATCTTAAACGATATCTATGGTCCCAGAATACACTTTCATTTTATAACTTCAGCATTTTAATAGCAATAAAAACATAGTTATATTTGACAATCTAATCTAAGTTTACTTGAGAGCTCTCTTTTCATTTTGTGTTAATTTATAGTTTTATATACTGTATTTCTTAGATATTTTTTATATATTTTTATATATACTGTACATATTTTTATTGCATGTCTTCTTATATTTTGTATTACATCCCATTTAAGTTTAATTAAAGGAGGTGTCTGTTAAGGACACATAAGGGAAGAGAGGAGTCTCTCTTTAAAAAGTGGAACCTTACCCATACCAGTTTAACCACTTGCCTACAGGGTACTTTTACCCCCTTCCTGCCCAGGCCAATTTTCAGCTTTCAGCGCTGTCACACTTTGAATGACAATTGCGCGGTCATGCAACACTGTACCCATATAAAATTTTTATCATTTTTTTGAGACAGATAAAGCTTTCTTTTGGTGGTATTTAATCACCTCTGGGTTTTTTATTTTTTGCCAAACAAACCAAAAACTGAAAATTTTGAAAAAAAAAATGTTTTTTTCTTAGTTTTGTGTTATAACATTTTGTAAATAAGTGATTTTTCTCCTTCACTGATGTGCGCTAATGAGGCTGCAGTGATGGGCACTGATAGGCTGCACTGATAGGTGGCACTGATGGGCACTGATGAGGAGGCACTGGTAGGTGGCACTGATGGGCATTGGCAGGCACCACTGATGGGCACTGAAAGGCAGCACTTATATATGGCACTGATAGGTGGCACTGACTGGCATTGTTAGGCGGCACTGATGCGCACTGATAGGTGGTACTGACTGGCACTGATAGGCGGCACTGATTGGTATTGATAGGTGGCACTGACTGGCATTGATAGGTGGTACTGACACTGATAGGTGACACTGAAAGGCAGCTCAGATGGGCACTGATATGTGGCATTGATGTGCACTGGTAGGCACTGATATGTGGCATTGATGTGTCACTGATGGGCACTGACAGGTGGCATTGATGGACACTAACAGGTGGCACTGCTGGGGCTACACTGATCATCAGGGCACACTGATCATCAGTGCCCTGATGATCAGTGTACATGTCCCCTCTGAGGAATACCGATTACTGGCTCTCCTCTCCTCATTAGCTGTCAGCGTGACAACTCGTGAGGAGAGAAATGCCGATAACCGGTATTTCCTTATTTACATGCAATCAGCTGTGATTGGACACAGCTGATCACATGACCGAGCCGACGTCTTCGGCTCTTTCCGTTGATCGGTGATCCACTGTGTCTGCTCTCCCCCAGAGCCACGCATGCGCGGTTAGGGTGAGAGGACGTCTTATGACTTCCTCCCAGAAAGAGAGAACCGCTTTGCGCCCGTCATTTCCTTATATGGCAGGCGGAAGGCAGTTAAAGACAATTAATGTTCTTTAACAAAACAATATCCTTTCCACATTAATGTGCTTTTACCAAACAGAAGTGCTGTACATACAAACTATTGCACTTATAGGAATACAAGAATGGCAGACATGCATAAAGCAAATGCTACCTACTTCCTAGAGAATACACATGAACTATGGTCTGTATACAATAGGAATTTGCTAAAAGTTACTTAGCTCAGGTTACAGCGGCTTCACAATCTCCGTAGGCAACCAGGACCCCAGGCCTACTCTTCAAGCAGTTGTAGGCGATCGGGCAAAAGCGTCAGGTGAAGTTTCTTCTGGCACAGACCTTCCTTAGTGTTAGACAATCCCACTTGGGAGTATCCATTCTCACTACTTTTGTATGGGCAAACATTTCCCAAATCAACCTTTAGATGGCACTGTTGTTTCATACATGCCATAGGTAGGTCATATGCTACATGCCATAGGTAGGTCATATGCTGCATGTCAAAAGGTCAAGGTATTGTTGACCATTGGTTACCTGAATTGTTGACCTCAGTTACAGAATTAATGTGGAGCAAAACAAGCAAACTAACAGATTCTTCTGTGTAAGGCCCCTTTCACACGAGGGGACCGATGGGGTCTGCCTGTCCATTTCAGATAGCACCTTAAGCAAAAAAAAAAACATTTTAAGTTTAGAATCACTTTAAGACGGGTTGGATTATGGGAAAACTCATAGGCTCCAGAGCACTAACATCTGCTTCATAGAGATCAGTTTAACTATTTACCTTTGAAGCTATAAAGGGCTAAGACTTCAAACAGTAAACACTGGCAGATTGATGGAGAACTGCATGACAGTGAGCATGTCTGAGTTTTACCCTTCCTTTATAAATATACACCTAGGAGGTTCTAAAGTCAAATTAAATATTGATCCCATGTTTTTACTTTATTATGAATGCATTATAACCGCTGCTACCACCAATGAACTGCAAGAGGTTTCCTTCCTCCCTTTAGATTGTAGGCTCCATCAGCAGGGCCCTCCTATTCATTCTGTATGAAACTGTATTGTAAATGTACTGTCCCCCTGTATATTGTAATTCACACAAAAAAAGGTATTGCATTAACACATGTTTTGCTATACACATGTTTATTCCCTTTGTATGTATTGGAACAAATATAAAACAGAGGCAGAAAAGCAAATATGACATAATGTCACACAAAACCCCAAAAATGGGCTGGACAAAAGTATTGGCACCCTTAACTTAATATTTGGTTGCACACCCTTTGGAAAACATAACTGAAATCAGTCGCTTCCTATAACCATCAATAAGCTTCTGACACCTCTCACCCGGAATTTTGGACCACTCTTCCTTTGCAAACAGCTCCAGGTCTCTCTTATTGGAAGGACACCTTTTCCCAACAGCAATTTTAAGATCTCTCCACAGGTGTTCAATGGGATTTAGATCTGGGCTCATTGCTGGCCACTTCAGAACTCTCCAGCGCTTCTTTGCCATCCATTTCTGAGTGCTTTTTGACGTATGTTTGGGGTCATTGTCCTGCTGGAAGACCCAGGATCTTGGACGCAAACCCAGCTTTCTGACACTGGGCCCTACAGTGCGACCCAAAATCCTTTGGTAATCCTCAGATTTCATGATGCCTTGCACACAGTCAAGGCACCCAGTGCCAGAGGCAGCAAAACAACCCCAAAACATCATTGAACCTCCACCATATTTTACCGTAGGTACTGTGTTTTGTTCTTTGTAGGCCTCATTCCGTTTTCGGTAAACAGTAGAATGATGTGCTTTACCGAAAAGCTCTATCTTGGTCTCATCTGTCCACAAGACGTTTTCCCAGAAGGCTTTTGGCTTACTCAAGTACATTTTGGCAAACTGTAGTCTTGCTTTTTTATGTCTCTGTGTCAGCAGTGGGGTCCTCCTGGGTCTCCTGCCATAGCGTTTCATTTCATTTAAATGTCGACGGATAGTTCGCGCTGACACTGATGCTCCCTGAGCCTGCAGGACAGCTTGAATGTCTTTGGAACATGTTTGGGGCTGCTTATCCACCATCCGGACTATTCTGCGTTGCAATCTTTCATCAATTTTCCTCATCCGTCCACGACCAGGGAGATTAGCTACAGTGCCATGGGTTGCAAACTTCTTGATAATGTTGCGCACTGTGGACAAAGGCAAATCTAGTTCTCTGGAGATGGACTTGTAACCTTGAGATTGTTGATATTTTGCCACAATTTTGGTTCTCAGGTCCTCAGACAGTTCTCGTCTCCTCTTTCTGTTGTCCATGCTTAGTGTGGCACAGACAGACACACAATGCAAAGGTTAAGTGAACGTCTCTCCTTTTTATCTGCTTTCAGGTGTGATTTCTATATTGCCCACACCTGTTACTTGCCCCAGGTGAGTTTACAGGAGCATCACATGCTTGTAACATTCTTATTTATCCGCAGTTGTGAAAGGGTGCCAATACTTTTGTCCAGCCCATTTTTGGAGGTTTGTGTGACATTATGTCGAATTTGCTTTCTTTCCTCCCTTTTTTTGTTTTGTCCCAATACACACAAAGGGAATAAACATGTGTATAGCAAAACATGTGTTAATGCAATACGTTTCGTGAGAAATACATGATTTCCTGGAGAAATTCAAGGGTGCCAACAATTTTATTTCTTACTAGTTAATTATTTAAAATTGTTATATCCATAATATTTTATATTTTGGTGTAAAGTATTACAATTAATACAGATATATTTACATTAACTTCTTAACACATGCATTTTCACATATTTAATCACAGGACCAGTGCTGGAATGGAGTTTGTTCTACCAACAGGTGAAACTGCTTCTGACACTTACCCGACATGGCTTAAGTTCCACATAGGAATCAACCGCTATGAGCTATACCCTAGGCTAGACCCTCTTATTCCTGTCTTGCTGAAAGAGATGTCTACACACCGCATCCTTAATTCTGGTAATTATATTCCTTCTCATACTTAGATCTTTGGTTTCTATCTGTTACTAATTGTAACATAAGTATCAGAGATAAGATTTTCTGTGTCACTCTTAAAGTCAGTAGTCAAGACAGGGTTTGTAAGACAAAGAAAAATCTTTGACGGAACCATATTTAGATTAGTTAGGTATGCTGAGAAAAATTAGGTATGCTGAGAAATGTATCATTGAAAAGTTGCTGCAGGAAGGTTTAGCTGTCAATAGGCATTGTGGTACACCAGTCCACTGTGCAGCAGTGGAAATTCAAATATGCTGCACTGAAAAGTCATCAAAAGGAAACCTTACTTGCAATAAAAAATCAAGTATGCAACACAGCTCCTCAGTAGGCCAGGGTATTGTGGAACTAAAAGTTAAGGTTTGATGAATTGAAAAGAAAACAGCTTGGCTACAACAGCTAGGTATATTTAGATTAAAAAAAGAAGCCTTTGAAGTGTTTTCGATCTGATAACCACGACGGTGATCTGTTATGTATGAGAGTGAATATGTTTTCCATTGGGCTTGTGTGGCAGCCACTGACTCAGGAAATACTAGGGATGATTTACCTAGGGCAAATAGGATTTTAACTGTGTAAGGGAATTTTGCTCTAGTTAAAGTGGTAAAGAATGCACAATTATTTGCAAGGAAAATAAAAAAACAGCACATAATTAGATGATGGAATTCAGCAGACCTTCAATCGCAGTCACGAATCTAGGGGAAAATGCCCTTACAAAGTAAAAATTCCCTTGTACAGGGTACAGCCTATTTGTTTTAATTAACTGCTTGGCGCCTAGCATACGCAAGTATGCTACCTCTCAGCAGTTCGACCTTGGTGCCAAGGGGCTGCATATTTGTGTACCCAACGTAAACAAAAGATGTGCCGAGAGCTCGCGCCCTGCATGCTCCCGGCACATTTACCAGCACCTCGCAGAAAGGTCCTGATCACTACTTGTGGTTGGGAGCCTTACAATCATATGACCTCCATGACATCCAATCATGGCAGTCACATGACCCTAAGCCCCGCCTCCCAGCATCACAAACCCATTAAAATGCCAGGAGGCGCCGGCACAAAAGGATTAAATCAACCCTGTTGTGTGGATAGGGGAAAGCATGACTTTTACTAATTATCACCAAATCCTAATGCCTAAGGCTAATGTCCCACAGACGTTGAAGAGTCTGAAAAGGGGGGATATAGACAGGTGTCTATGAAGAGGTTGTTGTGGTATAAATATATATATATATTTTTTTTTTTTATTTATTTATTTTGTTACTATGCCTTGTCTGTAACAATTGTTGTAAGCATTGCACTGTTTGTTATGCTATGGGGACAGATGTGCAGACTCGATCCCAAGCCGGGCTGCTTGCATCCATTGGCACTTCTAGGCCACGCCCCCTCTCCCTCTTTACAGGATTTGACTGACAACATCAGGAGGCAATGACTCTCACTGCTCTCAGCCAAGTGGAGAGAGGACAGAAGACCGACAGACAGATACAGCAATGGATCAATACAGGATGTAAGTAAGTATTTGAGGGGGGAGAGATGTCTGTGATCAAGCAAATTGTAACATTCTGTTACATTTAAAGGGGTGCATGCAAGGCTTAACAGACAAGACAATATAAGAGAACATGCAGTACCAAAGTCTTAATAGTCAAGCTAACCAGAGAAAACTATATTACTATTGCGTGTGCATTGTAATGTCTATGTGCATATAGCAGCCAGCCGGTCGATTTGGCATAGGTGATGGAAGGCACCAGTAGTGAAGGAACTTGTGTGCTTGAGATCCTTCCCTAGCAACCAGTACCCCAATCTGGGTCTGACGTGCGGTATGTTCTGTCCTAGGCACTCAGCCCGTATGTCACGGAAGATAAAGTGAGGCCTCGTAGAAGAGCAAGTGTG